GGTTTGATCCCCGGCTCCTGGTGCCACATGTCAAAGTATCCTTGAGCAAGATACTGAACCCCAAATTGCTCCTGATGCCATGCATCGGTGTGTGAATGTGTATGAATGTGTTTCTATTCGATGTACTTTGCCATCACTGTGTGAAAGGGTGAATGTGGCACGTAGTGTAAAAGCGCTTTGAGTGGTCGGAAGACTAGAAAGGCGCTATACAAGCTACAAGGTACATTTTACCATGTAAACAAAAACTTTGGTTTGTTTACAATAAAACTCCACAAGGTACCTGTAATTTCTGTATCTATTCTATATTCTATATTTTATTTTATGTATGTATATTTAGAGTTTAGAGAGAGTTTTTCTTACTCAACTCCATCAGGTGTGAACTATCTGCATACGCACCAATCTTCGCTGGCTAAATGTTCTCTCCTATACTGGTTATGAAAATGAAAAGTAGAAAGGGTCCTGATATAGAACCTTGTGATCTTTAGGACTTCAGACTTGCCAACATAAACACTCAACCAGCGTAGTGCATCTACGCAAACCTATTTGCCTTAATTTCTCTACTAATTTGTCATTTTTTTTATCCAGGCAGGTGATAACATTCTTTCTCTTTTCAGTACATCCTCTCAGGTCGATGACTTTGTGTTTGAAGACTTTGCTCGCCTGAGGTTAACAGGGATGAAAGATGAGCTTGATCCCTGCTGTTAGCTCCACCTCCTTCGTCAGCAGGGTCACTTGCCTAAATGGAAGTGGCAACTGAGATTACAGTAAGATGTTGGTGGAAGTGACTCCCCTCATTCTGCTGATATCAGTATTATACATGCTGCTGAGATTCAGGATTTATTATTCTAGCAGGGGCGCCTTTAAACAAAGGAATAAAAGTATTTTTATATTGACGATAGGTCAGTTGTTTTTCTTCAGGTATCAGTGAAATTATTAAGAGCAATAACAGAGGAACCTCTAACTTTTGCTGTTTGATTAATTTTAGCCTTTTCATAATTAAATAAATCTAATGCATTTTTATATCTGGAGCAGAACAAGTGTACAGTAAAATTAAACAGGAACCATTTTACTACTACTATAGTGGTTATTTTTAAAATCTTTTGCTAGTAGATATTTCCTTATCTTAAGTTGTATGTAGCACATATCAACAGGGTGAACTAACAGTGAAAAGATTCATACATACTTATTTTAAATGTCTGTTGAACTGCCTATACAAAATCGTCTTCTATCTGGATACAAGATACTATGTCCCGCCCCTTTTTGCAGTGTGCTCCAATAACAATTGAGCAAGCCTCAATTCATTTGACTTCCTTCTCATTACGTATTTAGATATGCTATGTGCTAGGCTTGTCTATCTTAAACACACCACATTTTGAAAACGGTTAAAAGATAAAAGCGACATATACAGAAGGTTGGGAGGGTTACATTTAAATTTAATCCGATACAATTACTAATTAAAATTGCAAGCACTGATGAACAGGCCCTTGCACTCCACGCAACTGCTGCGGCCACATCACGTGCAAGTGTAACACGTGCAGACCACAACATGAAAATTTCAAGTAAATCAGATCAAAATTGCCACGCAGCACTTACTTCCTGTTGCCAGTAGGTGGCGCTATCACTATATCTGATCTGTTTTTTTGAATGTACTGATCAATTTTGAAGTCGATCCGATAAATTCCCTAGGAGGAGTTTGTTTAAATAGAACCCCAAAATGACAGCAAAATTCAAAATGTCCGACTTCCTGTTGGATTTGGGTTATGCGTCCAAGAGGCTTTTTTGCTTGTCCGATCATGATACACATACGTACCAATTTTCGTACATGTCGGTCGTACGTGTCTTGGGGGCTGATTCTGGGGGGCGTGGCTAAGCCATTTTTCAACGTCTGCGGGACCAGAACAAAAAATTTGCCTTGGCCATGATTGAATTTTGTGCAAAGTTTCATGAGTTTTCGGGCATGATTAGTTCCCCAAAAAGTGTTGAAATGTTAACAAAAAATTTTCTTAAGATTCATAAGATGTCATCCTCATCGTCCTAAGGGACAGAATTTCAGCTGGATCTGGTCAGTCTGCTGCGTGATATACATAAAAGAAAAAATAATAATTTCCTGTCACCACTAGGTGGCGCTCACTATTACTGAATATTATCACATAGATGTGTTCAGGGTGGGACTCTTATCAGACAAGTGAAGTTTGGAGCCGAATGGACAATGTACACTCAAGTTATAGCAAACTCGTGTTTTGTGGTGGTACATCAAAATTTCACGCCACCCCGCGGACACGCCCACTCACCCCAGTCTTCACATATCATCAACAATGTGTTGAAGCTTTTTAGCTCAAGATACACATGCGTACCGATTTCTGTACACGTCGGCCGTACAAGTCTTGGGGGCTGATTCGGGGGGGCGGGGCTTAGCCATTTGTCGGCGCCTGTGCACGGGTACAAATGTATACGTGAATTTTCACCACGTTTGAATTTTGTGCAAATTTTCATGACTTTTCGAGCATGTTGTGAACGCCAAATATGCAATTGAGAAGGCAGAAAAATAATTCCTTGCAATTAATTACCTGTTAAAAAATTTATTCAGTAACCTAATCCTAGTATCACAATATTAAAGCAATGTAACTTGATTACTTTCCATTACTTTTGGATATATATATATGCCTGGATTTAGAGCCATACGTGATTATTCTGTCAACACTGTATCGTCATTTAACCTCTAAATTGACTAGCTGGATGATCAACCATAAATTCACTGGGCTTTAACAGAATTCCTTTGTGTTCCTCTTATGTGAGCTGTTTTTCCCGTGTCACTGTTTTAGTGTCCCTAAACAGGCTCTTGTGTTTATGTACATGTGATTTTAGAATAAGACTATTTCAGACTACAAAAAAACTACAAATTAAGATACTCAAAGTTTAAGATTTAGTCCCTGTGAACTCTTTTTCTGTCACTGATAACATTTTCTTCTTTCTGTTGGAGTTTTCGATATATACATCTAGAGGGGTAAAAAGACATTCTGGTGTCAAATGCTGTAACACATTTATTTAGATTAGTAACAAAAAAGAATGTGTTAAAAACAGAACTTGTTTGAAGATGTATTATTTTAGAATAAGACAGATTTTTTTCCATGGAGATCTAAATAGCTATTGCCAATATAATCAAACCTGAGATTTATACAATACTTAAAATGCAACATGGTAAAAGGAATACTTGTAGTAGAACTATGTAGTAAAAAAAAAAAAAAAACATAACAAGACACTGTTGAATTTTATTATTTTACTCAATTAAATGTACAAATAAAAATGTGTTGTAACTACAAAAATGTCTTTATTCTGTTCAAAAACATTTCACAAGGCTTCTTGTTTGTGAAAATAAACTTTTCCACCAGTAAAATTGAGGGTGTTGTGATCTTGAACTGATGTAAAATGTGACAAAAGCTTGCAATTGCAAATTTTTGTGAATTATGTCAGCTGTGTGGTATGTCATTAATTCTTGCAAATGCACTAGGAGGAGCCAGAGGAACCAGATTTTTTTCTTACAGATTATCTGTCTCATGTACTACTGTCAAGATATAGTTAAAGTTTCAGCAAATATCACAAACATGTATTTTATAAGAATTACCTACTACAGCTTTAATGTGTTCAGAAGATAATCTACCATCTAGTGAGTTAATATTTTCAACATTCTTCATTTACTACTTTTATGAGCTGCTGAGGGCCCAAAATAGCCATACAGCATTGTGATGCACACTATGACGGTCTTGGACAGTTCAGACTTAATTTTCACTGTAATTTTCTTCCACTCCTTAAAGTCTCCATGCCACCCTCTGGACACCCCATCCCATGAATATTTCACTCGAACCCCCCCTGCTTATATACGGCCCAGAGAGAATCCGGACCCTGACAAGTGCAGATTATGCTGAAACATTTGAAACATCAAATTTGGTCTGCTATGCACGTGAATAGGAAAAAGGGACCATCAAACAACAAAATATACCCAGAAATGCAAAATAAAATGTATAAGACGCTTTTTTCTTTGAGTTGTTCCTTGTGTTTTTTTGCCACTTCAGTATTTGTAACAACAATAATAAGGATCTATAAAAAGACTTTCAGGCTGCTGGTAGAAGTGGAGGATGAGGGCACATACAGTCAGGTATCACAGTGAAATGCTGCTGTAAGCCCAGTGATCACTATTTCACGAGCCAGCCAGTATTTCTCTCTGCTCTCATGTCTGCTGCTGCTGCTGCTCCAGCATCACTTCACAGGTCCGTCCCAGTTCTCCCAGTTTGACCTTGGCATACTCTGCCCTGTTCAGTGCCATCTGACAGTCCTTCCTGGCTGAGTAAGTGGAGCCCTCGTGAGGTTGACCAGTAGCTACCTGGGGAAAGGACGGGAGAATTACTGCTTTATTCTGCTGCTTACAATGTGATGCACTTTTTTTTGTTTTGCAGACAAACCAAAAACATAATGCTATTGCTGACACGGAGAGGGGTAAAAAGAGAGAAAAGGGTGTTTAGTATCAGCTTTCACACCAATATGCAAAGACATATTTAGTAGAACAACAAACTACAAAATATAACCACTACTTGTTGAGACATTAAACTTATGTTGTTGTAGCAGTGGTCTTATAATGCACAAATAAAAACAATACTTCTGTCTGTCTGACCTGTGTCAGGTAGCGGATCTGGGCACTCAGTTCACTCTCCACTCGGTTGACCGAACTCTGGAACTGGACCAGCTGTCTGTCCAAGAGGCTGGCGTTGTGTTTGTCTTTGGACAGTTCCAGAACTATATTACCTGTCGGGGAAAGTAAAACACTGGAGTCACCGGTTGCACACTCACACACAATTACTTAAAGCTGCACCCGGTAACTTTTATTAAAAAAGTAACGTTCTGTCACATTTGCTGAAACTTTCACTGTATCCTGACAGTAGTACATGAGACAGTAAATCTCATGTATAAAGATAATTGATTGCTCATTTTCAGTGTCCCAAAACATCTGTATTTGACTCACTGGGAATGAGACTTACTAGTCAACTATCTTTCTAGGCTCTGATTGGTTGCCTACATCCAGCCCTGGTGGATTAATGCAAATGCCATTAGGAGCACTAGGAGGAGCCAGAGGAACCTGATTCTTTCGACACGCATGCTATGCTGTTCCTCATGGACTACTGTCAGGATATAGTGAAAGTTTCAGAAAATATGACACAATTATTTTTATAAGAATTACCTATGGTGCACGTCCTTAAACTAATTTGTAACGTTAGTTTCCAAAAGGAAATGCAGTTAACCTGGGAATGTTGGGGTCCTGTCCCTGTCTGATTAAGAGTCTTAACGCTAGCTGTTGTGCAGAAGAACCATAGCAGTACACAAACAGTCTAAAGTATACAATGATGGCGTCGCTGTGCTGTTTGCTGAAATGCGTCCTCACCGGCACACTGCAGGATCGTCGCTATCTCCTTTTCGACATCCTCCAGAGCTCTGAGCCGCTCGTTAGCCATGAGGAGACCGGAAACAGCTAGCTACAGTTAGCTCCAGCAGAGACACGTCCTACTGTACATGAACACACAGGGTAGTCCGGACAGCTCAACTCGGTGCAGACTGGAGTAAAACAAACTCTACTGGACTCGACACCTCATAAAGGCTGCACAACAACAAAAGCGCTCAATAAATGAACGTCACCAGTCGCACGCTGGTGACGTCAGACTGGCGGAGGAGAGACAAAGATGGCCACATCGGCATGGCTGCGTGGCCCATCTGCTATGCGACTAACGGAGGGTTTGGTGTCAGTTCTGAAAGAGCAGCGTCCAGAGTATTTACCAGCTCTGTTGGCCAGCTACAGAGAACATGGCGTGTTCCCGACACAGGTAGAGTCCGGCCCGGAGAGGCGCGTTAGCTCGGATGCTAGCTACCTGTTGCCTGCTGCCGCTGTGCCGCAGCCACTACACGCTTTGTTGTTCACTGAGCTGTTTATATGTGGAGATACAGTGGGACCAGGGCTGAGCTGTTGTTGTTGTTGTTGTTGTTGTTGTTGTTTAATTACTATGTTCTGCCGTCGCTGTTCGTTAACACGTTTGTTCCTGTGTGCAGGGCGCGAGCGCCGTCGGTGGTCTCGTGGGTTTCAGCAACGCCAAACTGGCCTCGAGCAAGACCAGGTGAGAAAATTATCCGTTGTCAGCTGTCAATGTCCAGTTACCATTAAACCTGTAACACCAACGGTAACGTTATTGCAGTGTTGTTGTTCTAAGGTAGGGTATAAACTGTGAAACAATGCTTTCCTTTTTTTGTAAAATGAAACTCCTTGATGAAATGAAATTGAAAAAGTCCTTGTGCCCTGATATCATAACTCATATTTCTAATAATTTTTCATCTAACAGATTTAGGGCTGCACAGTTACTTACAATATTATTGAAATCACAACATGGCCAAGTGCAATACCCAAATAGGAGAAGCTGCAGTTTATTGATAAAGGTCAAATGTGAAAAAACCTCATTATAATGTGTTGTTGTGCTGCAGAGAGGCTCTGGTTTACAAATGTTGTTCTCCAGATGTAAGAAAAAAATTTTGATTGGTCACAAAATTACATATGGCACAGTTTCTTTAGTCCTCTGACTGTAAGCTGAATATGTTTGAGTTGTGGACAAAAAATGATATTTTACATCGTCACCTTGGGCTTTGGGAAACAAATCAACATTTTTCACAATTTTCTGACATTTTATGGACCAAACAACTAATTGAGAAAATAATCATTAGTTGCAGCCCTGAAAGTGACCTTATGTCTTTAGTCTGTCTTTCTAATTTTACACATTTTAGATTAATATTTTTGTAGGTAGGAAGAAAGCAATTACGATAGCATTTACATTGGGACATCTTTGAACATTCAAAGGTTAGGTGTTGGTCCAGTTTTCAAACCAGATCAAAGTATGGTAGCTCTGTTTTGAAAGGTAACTCCATATTGTGACTGTGTGTGTGTGTGTGTATATGTGTGTGTACAGGTTTGAGGGGCTCTGTCTGCTTTCCATGCTGGTAAAGGACAGCTCCAGTGATCTGTTCCAACAGCACTGCCTGTCCTGGCTGCGCTCCCTGCAGCAGGTTATACAGGTAAGATACATACATGCACACACAAACACTGTCAGTCTGCCTCTTCTGTGAACTGTGACTCACTGGAAACCCAAAAATCTACACAGCACCCCCTTTTCTGATTTCTCTCTCCCTCTGTGTGCCATCCTGTAGTCTCAGGCTCCAATTCAGACCATCCAGCTAGCGGTGAGCATTCTGAAGGACTTGCTGCAGTACTCGTCCCAGCTAGCAGAGCTGGCCAGGGAGGTCGGCCTCAACTCCATCCTTGGCATCCTTACGTCTCTGCTGGGCCTAAAGACAGAGGTGAGGGCACGGCAGATTGCACTAGAGCACCAGCATCTCAGACCAAAACAATGGTACCTACAGCCCACCACACTCCACTGACAAAACCAGTCATTTTAACAAGCAGATAATCATAAAACACGCTTCAGACTCACCTGAAACTTTTCAGTCATTCCAACAATCACCAACTCTTGTTTGGTCAAAATAAACCCTTCGCTGACTGAGTCAGATGAACCTTGGAGACACATATGTCTGTCCAAGTGAATCACCTAAAAGTAGTTGTTTCTGCCACTGACAGACTCCAACTGTTATTCTGTCTGGCAACATTATGGAAAGGATCCCTACAGAAAAACTGCTGTAATATCACTCTCCACCAAACTCCATAGACAACAGTCATTTTAACTCGCAGATCATTGTAACGTCACAACTTCATTGAAAGTGGACAGAAACAAAATAAAACAGTATTTGTTAGTCTCTCCACTGTTCCAACAATCAACAGCTTTGGTTGGTTGAAATAAATCCTTAATTCACCGACACAGATGATAGAATCAGCTTTTTCAGTCGCTCTGCTCAGCTGCACACGGAGCAGATATCCTAAGCCATGTGTGGGTTTTTAAATTTTGGCCAAACCAGCCGTATGAAGTTATGTTTTGAGATTCATACAAAGACCATGTATCTACAACACATCATCTTTATTCTCTAGTACTAAAAGAATGGATTAGTTATCAACTACTTATTTTAATGGCATAAGTTGTATTTGTAAAAAAAAATAAGATGCATGGTGAAAACTGGTGCAGCCACCGTGCTGCTTTATATTTGGTTCACTGTAATGCAGATGACGTGTCTGGGCTCTCTTACCTGCCCAGATAAGCAGCAGGTTTCAACTGATTTCCCCACTGAACTAGAAACTGCAATATCCCCAGATTCCCTTAGAAAATTGCACAATTTTGAGAGTTGTTGAAAGAGGGGGAACTTTATAAAATTTGTACAACACTGTTGTACACACAGAATGATGGTGAACAGTTGAAGCCTTTGCTACATTGTTTCTCCTGTGATCTCAGTGTGAACTGGCAGCCATGGAGGGGATGACGGCCTGTATGACCTACTACCCCAGAGCCTGTGGATCCCTCAGGGTAAGACACACTGATGGACAGGAGTGAAAGAGTTGTTTCTCCATATAGAAACTAGGGTGTATATTAGTAATAAATAACTTTTAGTTAACTTTATATATTTCACTTGTTTGAGGTAAACAAAGCTGTCTTTTTTTCTTTTAGGACAAACTGGGGGCTTATTTCCTCTCCAAAATGGACAGTACAAACAAGAAAACACAAGAGGTTTGTGATTCTCACTGAGGTGAATGTTTGGCTTTTCATTATATGTCTTGATAAATCATTTTTATGCTTGTCTCTCTTTCTCTTTTTTACACTGGTCTAGCTTTATATAGAAAAAAGTTGAATGAAGCAGAACATCCAAAGCTATTTCTCATCTCACTTTTCATTTCATTATCATTTTCTCAGATGGCCTGTCAGTGTTACGGCCGTCTGCCCTGCCTGGGGGGCCTGTTGGACAGGGGAGTGGGTGCTGGCAGAGCTGAAGGCTGGACCAATCAGATTCACTGCCTACTGGCCTCAGCCAATGACCTGCTGGCTCAGATCTATCAGGGATCTGAAACAGGTACATATCTCTCTTTTGAAAATCTTTTTTTTTGTAATTTTCTTTTTTTATTGGTTTTACAAAAGGAAAACATACAAGCCTAGCCAGTAAGGTGTAAGTCATGCATCAAAATATTACAACTAAAACAAGACAGAAACAAGGACAGGGGATTATAACAGAG